CATATAAACTTTAATGGAGGGATCATGAGACCATAACAACTCAGGAGAATTTCAATTGAAAAGTCAATCACAATGACGTCACGAGTCCACATGAGATCATGCGACCATGTCACAAGCTCAATAACGGGTATGTTGACCATCGGCATTGAGAACAGCAGTGCATCGACGACGCATAGAGCCATTCAAACGTGCAAGGAAGGCTTGTGGGATGTCACGCCAGATTCTCACAAGTTCTGTTGCAGGGTCAAGGACGTTATCTGACGGATGAGGAAGACGGCGTAGACGTCGATCCATCTCATCCCAAACATGCTCTATCGGGGAGAGATCCAGTGAATTTGCAGGCCAAGGCAGTAAGTCAACGTTGTGGTGTTGCAAGAAATCCATAGCAACCCTTGCCGTATGAGGGCGGGCATTGTCCTGTTGGAATGTTAACCCAGGGCCATGACGTTGCAGAAAAGGAATTGCCACAGGTCGAAGAATCTGATCCCTGTAGCCCACACCAGTTAAGTTGCCCTGAACAATCACCAAAGGAGTTCTTTGGCGTGCTGTTATTCCACCCCAAATCATCACGGAACCACCACCAAAGCGATTAATCTCCAAGACACAGGCCTGTGCATAATGTTCTCCCACACGTCTATAGGCACGTTGATGTCCATCACTATGGGAAATGTTAAACCTGGACTCATCTGTAAAAACAACATTTCTCCACCAAAACAAGGGTCTGCGGACATGATTTCGGCACCACATTCGGCAAGCTTGTCGATGACGTTGTGTCAGGATAGGCCGTATGGCGGGACGTCGTGGTCAATCCCGTGATGACGTAAACATTGTCGAACTGTGTTGGGGTGGATACGGTGAAGTCCTGGAATGGTTCGGGCAGTCATCACTGCAGTCTGAAACCTGTGGCGAAGATGGGTCACCCTTATCCATATGTCCTGTCTTGGCGTTGTTACACGTGGACGATCGATGACTTCATTTGTGTTCTGGTAGCATCTCACCAGTGTAGAAATGGTGTTCCGGTAGCAGTGGAAATGTGCGGCCACTTATCGTTGAGACATTCCCCCACGGACCATCCAAATGGCCTCATGACGTTATACAGACGTGAGCCTTGGCTATGCTATGCGTTTCAATAGCCGTTTAATTTTTTGAACGATCGCAAGAGCAGGGATTGAGTTTTCCAAAGTGACAGTATTGTGTGGCATTCATTTGCTCTGTTTCTCTTTCCCAGAATGCACGTATTGCAAATCCTTACTGTGTCTACACAGGTTTGATACAATAATCTCTGAGATTTAAATCCTTAAATGTCTACACAGGTTTGATAAATTTAGATTTTAAATTTTTGTATGCACAGTTTCTTTATGTGCCTAGTATACATTACCCTCACTCTTGCTTGGAAAGGAGTACATGAATTCTGGCACTTTACTTAAATCAGTATGACACACATGCTCGTATAATAACATCTTCACTTGTGGAATATATCCTGGTATGATATTGTGTTTACTACACAGCTGAAGCAGTGTACTCTAAACACGTGTCCTTGTACACCAGTCTGTCAATAATATCAACAACCACAGACTACGAAACACATCATGAGAAAGTACAAGTAAACCACCTGCCACTCTTCACTGGTCACATTACCTTTGGAGTAACTTACTGCAAACGTCTCCACAAGCTATCATGCCATGTTACACTTAGGGAAATAGTACACAAAACTGACATTGTCACATTTTCTTTATAATCACGATTTATTGAAACCTGTGTTAATTCAAATAGTGTCTGTGTTAATCTTGAACACACTGGTAAATATTGATGAGAGCAGTTTTTCTGTGGATGTCTGAAGAAAAAGTTTCATGTAACTTGATGAAGAAGAGTGCCAGACAGATGAAAAGATAAGAGGCCACATGTGTTTAGGCAAGTGAAACAGACTCATCACATTCATATTGAGATCAAAGCTAAACATTCAGAGAAAAAACACTTCCACAAGACTTTATGACAATGGGGATGACTTCAACTTTCCTTTTGCCAACTTTATGTTGAGCAATATCAGTGCCCACAGAGTGCCCCCAAGAATTCAGTCTCCACATTTCACAACTTTTGATGTATAACTCTTGCTGAAATGTTGTTAGATCAGATATAGAACATTCAAAGCCTTGGCAAAGCGATCGAAAAGTTCAATGGTTGACACTGGGTGGACATTTCCAAATCTGATGTATCACTGACTAAATTGATGTCTGATGCAATTCTCTATTCTGACTTGTGCCATTTAAATGTTAACATTTTCAGGTAAACAATTGACTTGCCTTTGCATTGTTTGTGATGTGTGCCATCATTAGGATACCTTATCACCTGATATCATCACCAGCTGGCACTGATTCACAAACGCTGTTGGGACAGTTATAAGAGATCACTCTTTAAAACCTGCAGTTTTGGTCATGTCACAGGTCTGTTGCACTGCCTATTTCCTGCATCTCCAACATTTCTTGTAACATTCTGTGAAGCTTGAAACATTCAACAGAAGTAGTTCAGATTGGATCTTCCCAAACAGAGTCGGATGTAAACAGTACTTCCAGGCAAGCATGTGAACAATCATGAAATAATGATTACATCTTCTACAGTTCATGGAAATCAAAGGGAGTTCAATAATGATTATTAGATTCCATCTGAAGTGTTTGAAGTGATGTCAAAGAAGCTTACTATGTAGTTAGTTGAAGGGGAAACACAATCTAAGCCTGATATCAACTGTAGCGATGAGCTAGGCTTCAGACAAGCTTCACATTGACAAACACCAGAGGATGAAGTTTCCTAGAACTTTGAGGATTGTTACACAGTCGTCAGACATCAAAGATGGACAGTTAGGAGATAAAACTGCTCTGGACTTTCATGATTATTAGAAATACTTCAGGGTGAACATATTTCCTAAATGCCAAATTTCAATCTTTAACAAAAACTAGTTTGATCTGTTTTTGTGTCAAAAACTCATTATTGTTATGTTTAAGTATTCTATTTAGTTTGGAACTTTGACAAAAAGCAAGAGAATACAAAACCTATCATATGCAGCATGAAATCCTGTAAAATGGTTACACTGAATGATGTGATACATCATAATACTGTATATAATTCATAGTCAAATGATGTATCAAACAAATCTTCCCCTACTTATGGGAACAAACACTGATGTATTATGGCTGCCTGGATACAATCAAGCACGGTATTTAAGTAACGTAGATATAACTTGTGGACTGGATGATCCAGGATGAAGCCAGCTTAATACAACAGACTGCACATGCTGTACAGTAGTATGAAATAGGTCTCACGGAGTTTCTACTCTGATATACTTAGTGGGAAATATGTGCCATGAGGTTTAGTAATCAGAAGATATATATCCGAACGGATATCGATAACATTCACGAAGGTCTTCGATCTACCCAGTGCTCTCACGTACCTCCGTCCCATATGTGTAGTGAAAGTACAGGATGTTAGTTCAAGTCTCAAACATTTGGTACTCATTTTATGTGCTCCAAGTAAATATCTGTGTGATGTTGGGTAAGGTTGTTACACGGAGCTGGTGTATAGCTTGTGGGCGCTGCCAGCCTCCACATGATAGTGTTGTACAACCAGGAAAGAGAAAACACTAGCAGACTTACATCTTGCATTCCCATCTCGGACGACTACAATGTAACATTCTCAGGGACAACCAATGCAGCAAAAGAAAACATCCAGGGGCAAATTACCAGTTTGAGAATATTTTGTGTTATGAAAATAACTAGTAGAAATTCCAATGGAAATATAGTTGCTATATCGTGGAACCATCTGATGCCAAGCACTGTAAAGTGTGTTCTTTGATATTCATCACATGTTCCCTTGGGGTCAAGCTAATGACCCTTCTTACACACTGATCTCAACCACTTGGGAACTGTTTCTTAAAGTCCCAAAATAGCATATCTTAAATCGTGTTCATGTAATGCCAATATGTGGTTCTGCATTTAGAGGGTAGTTAGTACTTCATGTCTGTGTGGGTGCTGACTGGCCGTGTCCATGGGCTGTACAGATTAACACTTGACAAGGTGAACAACAGACATCTAAACGCTCCATGAAGCACTGGGTAGGTGGATCTTATCTGCAATTACTAATGTCAATAAAGTCTTTCTAAACAAATCTTCTTGTATAAAAATGTTTTATTTCAATGTTCCATCATCATCCAGAAACATATCAAAGTGCTGTTGTCATATTGTTGTAATGATTAATGTGGGTGGTTCAACACCAAGTTTAAAATAATGTCTCTCCTGGACATAAATGGGGGTGAGGACAACACCCTGTGGGTTACTTCTAGTGGTACGTACTACAGTGAAGTAAGCACAAACTCCATGCCCCAACATTTAAGACTGTTACATGGTCAATATCCACCTTTTATGTCAATCCAAACACCTGTCCACTAACTGTTCACACTGAGTAAATAGATTAACAGCTGAAACTATATATATTATAATCTAAAATTCACAATACAAAAGTAACGTCCCATCCAAGCAACTAAAATCAAAATCAAAACAAATGAGCTCAAAAATGAAATCCAATATGAACACTTGATGACATACTTATGTTCTCCTGTAAATATGTTGCCTTCAGCGCCTACCACATATCAGTATGCTATAGATCACCAAGAAGTTCAGAATACTTTAATGAAAAATAGAAAGTAATATCTACATTGGAAACCTGTGTACTCTATTTCTTCGAGATAGCTAGATAGATGCCAGATTGGAAGACTGGTGTCGTTGAGTCTAAACCAGTTCTTGAATAAATGCTGGTTCTTGTTGAACAGGACATACTGATTTACAAACCACCCGGTGATATGCCATGACATCAGAAGTAGAATACAGTCAACTGCTGCAAGTTACCAGATATCTGCATGAGACATCAACAGTAGAATACAGCCAACTGCTGCAAGTGTCCACACCTATACACTTTGTGCTGCACCTGCCAAGTAGATGTATTGTCTCCCCTACCTGTGGCCCAGTGATGTCCCCTCTGTCCTGCGACATCATTACATCTGAACAGCAGCAACAAGAACACAAGGGAGAATCCAAAATGGCCGTTGATTATCCCGATTCCATTTCCTGTTCACTTTAGTATCCAGTATCCACACTCATGCTACTTGCACCACATCTACCTTCCAATGATTGACCTGAAAAATAATATCATACTTGATCACATTTGTCTATGCAAATTAGGTGGGCTTGGGCAATTACAGACAAGAATACATAAAGTGTGGTAACGAAATGGAAGCACTTCCATATTCATAAGTCTTCTCTATTTAAATGCAGTGTCAAATGAACAATTTCAACTCCATCATGAGAATGTGTTATAATTCACAACTTATTAATCACAACAGGTCATAATGTATTCCATAAGTATTATTCTGGTTTGCAAAAGAACCTTGTAAAGACAGTTTAATGTTTCTCAAAACAAACACAAAATACTTGAGCCATGTGTCAAATTATTCAGAAGCTCAAACAGTTTAGGCCATTACAAATTCCACTTGATATAAGACTTCTGTCTGCAAATAGTTTCACATCTCAGTCCAAGGCATAATCTCTCATGATGATGATGATGATGATGATAATGATGATGATTTTGAATAATATATTATGGCCTCCATTGATACTGTTTGAGGTGACACCAAAGGCCGCACTGGATGTCTGTCTTTGTCCATGTACTTTCATTCATTAAATTCATTCAATTCTGAATCATATCAGGCATTATTACCTACGAGGGAGAAAATATCGGGGTTCACATTTTTCATACGATGCCCTAGGGCAAAATATCACTTTGTCATGGTGACGTGACGTCATGAACAATGCTATGACGTCACGTTTATTCTGTGACGTTGCATTCTATATGCGACGATGGCGGGTAGCCAGCCTATGTTTGGAAGGAGATTTGGGTATATTTTCCTCAATTTAACGACTTTGGTAATAAACAGAATATTATATTTGTACCCATATCATACTATGTTTACGACACTTGTACCTAAATATCGGTATATATCTCGCTCACGCTCCGGAAATACCAACATTTAGGCACTCGTGTCGTAAACATAGTATGACATGGGCACACATATAACATCCTTTATATAATAAGCCCTTTCAGGAACCTGTTGATTGTTATCCAGAAAATACCACAGTATTTACAGAATGCTGGAGTAGTCAGAGTCCAGTTTCCACTACAGTTCTAGTTTGTCGCCCAATGGTGATTCAAGCTATTTTAATGTTTTTCTAATGACATATTTTAGATACAGTGGACAGATACTTAAAGTACTCCCATATTCTGTGGAGAGTTCAGGTTTTCCTGAAGAGATTATTAGTCATCACAAATGTAACATGGATTAAAAGGAAATATAATCTTTGATTGGCATTAGAAGCTTGCAACACAGGAAACCGGAAGACATGAACGTTTGTGTGTAACTTCACAGGCGATGGTGTTTCAGTACTAATCCCTGCTTCATCACTTGGATGAATGTTTCGTGTCATCACACGAATGTCAACAAAAACTCCACACAACCCATTAACCTTCTCTTAAGAGTCATGTTGTCATTTCATGGATCACAAACAGTTTATGGGCGAACATTACCATCTACTGTTCACACTGATGTTGTAAAGTTCAAGAGATGCCAGACAGATTTGGGGAATCAGAGACAGAACATTTCATCACAGGTAAACCTCAGTGACCGAGATAGCGTTGTTTTATGCCACAATTAGCAATATTCCAGCTGTCTGGGACTGGCAATTCCATGCTTGATTGCATATGCAAGGATCCACATCACTGGAGTAGGATGAGGCACAGTCAGTCTGATTACACATCATAAAAACAAAGTCCTTAAGTAGCTCATGCAACAAGTACGGGTACAGGCCACAGTACCTGGAACCAGTTTTTAACAGAGAAGCCCTCCCCATAAAGGGATGCAGCTTGTTATTATTATATACTGTCTGGCAGAAGTAAAGCTGGTGGGGTGCAGACTGTGCACACCCCATTTCCACAGACACCTGACATGTTAACTTCTCCTTCACCTAAGTCACTTTGAATTCATGAATGTAAACACACTGTTTTTTAAAAATCCTGGATTTATCTCACATGACTATCTTAGAGGTACAGATAAGCTGTGTATCTGCGTAAATTACTCAAATATTTACGTGAATATCCAATTCCTATTAAGTCTATTGCGCACAACTATGCTTGAATTTTAGTAAATACTCAATTAATTTGATTTTACATGCGTACACACACAAATGTCAAATCTTAGCTTGCGTACCAGTAGATAGATAAAAAACTGAGGTATATTGAGAGGTTCTATTTCAGCACATGATCTTGGAAATTTGCAGTCTTTCTTATTGTTTCTCTTATTACAGATCAACTATATATATAACAAACATGTAAACCAACATGTAAATTTAAATATATTTTTACAATTAATGGAAAATGGCAAAATACCCAATTGAGTTTGAGTGAGGTGGGAACAATTATTTGGTTACTCAAGGGAAAATTAGGATGCACCAATGAGATTAAAACAAGCGAGTACATAACTAAATGACCCAAAAAGTTATCTGTAGCACTGCTATCTTGAGTCACTTGGAATTCATGATTGTAAACACGCTGTCTTTAAAAATCCTGGATTTACCTCACATGAGTATCTTGAACATTATGATATATCTTGAAATTTGATCCAATTTCGGCAGGGGAACCAAAGCATATTACGACTCAGACAATGACATATGCGAGACAAGGAAGTAATAGTCCAGAATATCTCATAGGGATTTCACCTCATTAAACTTTCCCAAGGGAAGTAACTGGATGTCTCAGGGAAAGAAGCAAGGAATATATTGTCTGTAACAAGGCCTGACAGATCTCTCTCTTGGGAGTGCATCAGTAATTCTTGGAGTCAAATGAAAAAAAGCAAATCTACAAGTACAGCCACTTTCCCTTTCCTACAGATAACTGTAGATATATCTTTCTTGTCTTCAGTGTATGAGTGAGCGAATATGGTTTTAAGCCGCTTTTAGCAATATTTCAGCAACATCACGGAGGGGTACACCAGAAATGGGCTTCACACATTATACCCCTGTGGGGAATCGAACCCTTGTCTTCGTTTGGTGTATGAGAATTTGTGTCAGTCATACAGAATTAATTATTAGGCATGAAAGATGTAAAAGTGTGTGGTACAGTAGTCTAATGTACTGACCAGGGTTGCCTCCCTTGGGCAGGTCCCAAACCAACTACAATATGTTTGAATCCATGTCTGCCTCTACACAACACCATGCCTGTTACTCACACACGTGACCTACTCCCACATCAAGTTAACATGCTGGGATATGGTTGGAATACATAGTATCCCTCACTTACTCACTCACTCACTCAGACAGACAGACAGTATGTCAGACATACCAAACATGACACAGGTCCTGCATATTTGCTACTTTTCTTACCTGGTGTGCAATGACATCACAATCAAATTAGGATTCAAACCTGTGATGAACACATTGTCTACTTGGCCCTCAGGTCCACAGTGTCCTTCCAGTAACAGCCACACCAAACACATCAAGATTTTGCACAGGAGCCAAAGAGATAAGCACATGTGTTTAGTACAACAGCACAAATTGGTATCTGTGTGTAGTTACTGCGGACTTGTTGGAGAATGACAAGGTCTGGGATGAGGGACAAGGTGCTCAGCCATGACTACCACCCTGACTGCATGTGGGACCAATTACAACTGATGGGTTCCTGGCAACATCCATACATCCAGATTCTTCTTGGATTCTCGCACACAGGGGAAACCTTGTGGTTGTTCAACAGATGCAAACAGTCTAAAAGGAAAGTACACATGCTTTTCATGACTTTTAACAGTAAACTTCATCTAGCAGGGCGTGGCGTCATCCCTACCTTGTCAGTGTAGCAGGGCATGGAGTCATTGTCAGTGTAGTCTGTCATACAGTCCCTGAAGCAAACATATCCAAGAAAGCCCACACAAGTCTAGAAATTGTGGCAAGTCTAGATTTCCAAGGTAGTCTTAGGGCTCCTTTTCAATATATTTTATTTTTTTTCGCTAAGAGCTTTATTTTTTGTAAAATATATTTATTTCAGAAACAAGTTGTTAGTCTATTGTCAGTGTAGCAGGGCATGGAGTCATTGTCAGTGTAGCAGGGCATGGAGTCATTGTCAGTGCAGCAGGGCATGGAGTCTTTGTCAGTGTAGCAGGGCATGGAGTGTAGCAGGGCATGGAGTCATTGTCAGTGTAACAGGGCATGGAGTCATTGCCAGTGTAACAGGGCATGGAGTCATTGTCAGTGTAGCAGGGCATGGAGTCATTGTCAGTGTAGCAGGGCATGGAGTCATTGTCAGTGTAGCAGGGCATGGAGTCATTGTCAGTGTAACAGGGCATGGAGTCATTGTCAGTGTAGCAGGGCATGGAGTCATTGTCAGTGTAGCAGGGCATGGAGTCATTGTCAGTGTAACAGGGCATGGAGTCATTGTCAGTGTAGCAGGGCATGGAGTCATTGTCAGTGTAGCAGGGCATGGAGTCATTGTCAGTGTAACAGGGCATGGAGTCATTGTCAGTGTAACAGGGCATGGAGTCATTGTCATTGTCAGTGTAGGGGCATGGAGTCATTGTCAGTGTAACAGGGCATGGAGTCATTGCCAGTGTAACAGGGCATGGAGTCATTGTCAGTGTAACAGGGCATGGAGTCATTGTCAGTGTAGCAGGGCATGGAGTCATTGTCAGTGTAACAGGGCATGGAGTCATTGTCAGTGTAACAGGGCATGGAGTCATTGTCAGTGTAGCAGGGTATGGAGTCATTGTCAGTGTAGCAGGGCATGGAGTCATTGTCAGTGTAGCAGGGCATGGAGTCATTGTCAGTGTAGCAGGGTGTTCAGAAGGGATTCGCCAAAATGCATCCATGTTTGAAACTGTTCATGTACATATCATAACGTGACACCCAAACGCACCAAAAGGCATGCATATCAAAAAATGCACGGGATCCACATGGGATAGGACAGGGGACAAACACATGTGGTCAGTTAGTTTAGTTGGGTCTTAAAATCTCAAGGTGAAAACTTGTGTTGACAGT